GCATGTGGTGTTTCATTTGGTTATCTTATATCATGTTTATGTCGTAATACTGATGTTGCATTATCATTTGGACCACCATTAATTATGCCATTTCAATTATTGGGTGGTTTTTTTCTCAATACACAGTCAGTATAATCAATAATAATGTTAAATTTGAATTTATTTAATGATTTTTTGCCTTTTCATTTTCGAAACAGTTCAATACCAAAATTTTTACGTTGGACAAAATGGATATCATGGTTTTATTATGGATTCGATGCATTAGCCGTTAATCAATGGCGTAATGTTGAAATTTTAGATTGTGTTGATATTTCAAATTCCGAAACAATTGCTACAACAACAACAGCAGCATCAAATCTTCATTCATTTAATAATGATACACATAATTTAAAACCAAAACAACAACAAATGTGTTTTGAAACTGGTCAAGATGTATTACATTTTTTGGCACTTGGCATACAACCAGAATGGCTGAATTTTTTTGGTATTTTATCGTTAATGTTTTTATTACGTTTTATTGCCTATTTAACTTTATTGTTTATTGCAAGAAATCGTTGAAAATTTTGTCTGATCTGATTCATTTTGAAAATTTGAATTTTTGAATTTTTTGATTTTTGATTTTGTTTTTTCAAAATAATAATAAACATTGATTGATTGATAAATGAACGTGCCTGGATCTCATTTATCAAACTTGGCACTTTAAAAACAAATTTTCAAGTGATGTTCGCGCTATGAGTGGTTTTGCAAAGTTTTGTTTTGCTTTTATTTTTGTTTTACTCATTTTTTAACGTAGAATTATCGTAGAAAAAAAAGGTTGGAAATTTTTCTTCGTAAATAGATAATGGTTAATCTGATTGATTTTTTTCGTTATTATTGCTGTTGTTTCATTTATTTTGCCCGAAACACACACCGAAAATGCCCAATATTATTATTGCCCAAATTAATCGGGTAACAAATTTTAGTTTTTTTATTAGAAATTAATAATGATATTACACTGAACCGAAAAGATTATTTTTATTGTTAAACCCTGATCATAATTGGTGGGATTTACAAAATTTTTTTTTTATTACCATTTTTATTACAGCCCACTTGAACTATAATTCTGTTTGTTTGTTTGTTTGGTTGTTTCCGACTAAATTTCCATAATTAAATGTTTGAATGATATTCTCTATGTGTGTGTGTGTGTGTTTGCGTGGAATCCACTAGAATGAAATTCTGATGATGATGATGATGATGAGAATGAGAATATGGATTAAAAAACATTCAGGCAAACATTGATGATAATGATGGCGACGAGGATGGTGATGGTCGTGTCCAAATTTCTAATTTTAAACATAATTATTTCGAATGTTTTTGCATGTCCTTTGATTTTCAATGATATTTTGAAGAATTTAAACGATGAAATCGATCAATATGATCATCAACTTGGTAAATGGCTTTATCGTTATCAATCAAATCAATGGCAACGTTTGATTGGT